CTACAGCAGTGTTGCTGCTATTAAAGTTCCAACCTTCGTATATTTGTTTACTATAATTACTGTAATAATATGATTTTATTATTTTCATAATTTTTGAGATAAAAGTTTTGTTTCTTGCTAATATGACCTTTCTACTTTTTTTTTTTTTTGAGAAAATAAAATGTTATTTTATGCCTACATAAGGTTCAATTCTGGTTTTATTTCGGTACTAATTGACAGTAAAAGAAAGTATGATTTCAAAAACAAGTGATTACGGTTTAAAAGCCCACTTCCTCAAATGGTACCTAATGTGAAAGACTAGAAAATGATGTAAAAAACAGCAAATAATCATCTGAAAAGACATAACAGACTTTTAAGATATAAGCCTCCGTAGATTAGGGGTAACGTTCCCACCTCATGACTCAAGGTATGCGGGTTCAAACCCGGCGGCGGTCATGGAATTTTTAAGGTCGGAAAAATTCAGGGAACAAGTCCTCCGGGAGGGACTTTAAGCCGTGTGTCCCGTGTCATAGATTTACGGCACGTAAAAGAACCTCATGTCTCTAGGAGACCTCTGAGCTAAATTAGGCAACAATTTCCCGCCCAAGTAGTTTCCAATGCCTCTGGNAAAAAAAAAAAAAAAAAAAAAATTCTGAGGATATATTTGTCTCATCACCAAAGTGCACAATACAAATATATAACCAATAAGTGAAATTAAAGGTTCTCACAGCAGTGACTGTGAAGTGCTTCTGGAATGTTACACCATGCAGTGTGGTAGAAGTTTACAGACATTTCAGAGGAACATCAGCACACTTCTACCCAACTACATGATGCGACACCCTAGAAGATCATAATATACTCTATACCTAATAAATTGTGTGAATATTGGGCAAAGTTAAAATACAGACAAATGACAGCTGCAAATCAAAAATAGATCACAACCAGAAGCACATTAAATTTGCAAAGGCTTGCTACCATTCACTTCAGAATCTTTCCATCTTCTTTCCCACCTAAAACCTGAAGATAAAAATTTACATAATTTTACTCTGCATTTTATACGGGTACCTTTGTCCCTCAATTTATGGGAAGAAACAAAATGGAGAAGAAAATTAGATAAAACAGTGCTACATAATTTGTACTTTTCACTATCAAGAATAATAAGATGGGTGGAACACATAAGGGAGAATTATAAAGTTCAGCATGAAACCTGAAATGAACAGATCACATGAGAGACCTAGAGGCAAACAGGGTAATTTAAAATGAAGAGTACAGAATTGCAGTGAGAACTTGCAGACTGAATTCAGTTAGATAGGGCAGGGTCTAGAAGTAGACTCCTGTGAACAGGGTGATGAACCTTTAGGTTCCATGAAAGTTGGAAACTTCTTGTTCAGCTGAGCAACCATCAGGTTGAGAAGGAAGGTGCTACGCCATGGAGCTACTTATATGAAATAATGTTAAATGTAATGTCATTCAAATTCTGGTATATCTAATTATGCTAAGACTTGTGAACCTCATAACATAAGCTCAAGTTGTTATATATGACTCTACAGTTGACTAATTTCACAAATCACACAAAATATATCATAAAGCAAACAAAAATGTAGCAGTATGCGAACTAATATTTCGCTTGATTCTCTAGTACCTGATAAGTTATTCTGCATAGATGTGAATGGTTGGAACAATTCCAATGTCATATAATTATTAATCATTTAAAAAAGGGCATCTTCCAATGAAAGCTCTACTTCTTTGTGTGGATAATTACAGCTGAAAAAATGAACAACACACGACACAGCTAAACCACAAAGGCCAAAATTACACACTGGATACAGGTTGTGAAACCCATGGATGGGACTATGGGGCTTTACTTTCTGTATTCACTGACAAGAAGTAGTAATATAGTAATTTCATGCAGCATCAATATTTGTTACCGCTACTGTAACTACGAGCACCAATCCACTACACAGCCCTACCGTAACCACAACCACCACCAACAACAATGCACAATAAGCCTACAGTTTCAACATGCATTCTTCATTACTTTCAGCACCACAAGAACAGTGATTCAGAAAGAAAAAAATGAAGCAAAAGCAAGTGCTCTCTTCTCCCCTCCAGAGATCTGAAAACTTCTATGCAACAGCAACTCAGAAATACGATCCACGCCTGCAGGGAAGCATTTATCTGAGGGATGATTTTAACAGTGAAAGAATATGACTAAGAAATCCCAAACACCCAGTTGTTACTACATAATTTCGAATATGTCAGTATGATGTGTTTCTTTTCATCTGTGATATTCTGCTAAATAAGGAACCACTGGTGCTAGGCATTGTATGGATATACATCATAAACAAACCTACACATTATACGTGGTGCAATCCAAAAGTTCCCGAAATATATTAATAAAATCTATTGCATCTTACCTAGATCTTATTCTGCACCATCACCTTCAAAGTAGTCCACTTGGGAGCACATACACCGATCCCAGTGTTTCTGCCACTTTTCAGATGCATCCTGGAAGTCTTTCTTTGTTAGAGTGTTTAGTACCGTCTGCGTTTCCGCTTGAATTTCCTCAACTGTATCAAATTTCGCCTCTTCAACTTGATTTTCATCTTGAAGAAGAGAAAGAAGTCGCATGGAGCTAAGTCTGGCGAGTACAGTGGGTGGGGAACAACTGCCATCTTGTTTTTAGCCAAAAATTCCTGCACAATGTAAGCCGTATGCGGTCGTGTGTTGTCAGGGTGGAGTACCCCCAGTCGTTCGTGTGTCACTTCTCTGGATGTTTTCTCCTCATGTCCTCTCTCAAACGCTTTACAACATCGCGATAGAATTCTTTATTGACTATCTGACCAGGAGGGACGAACTCCTTATGAACAATCCCGTCAATATAAAAAAAAAAGATCAACATGGACTTAATGTTGCTCTTGACTTGTCGAGCTTTTTTTGGCGGAGGTGAAGAAGGGCTCTTCCATTGTGACGATTGCTGCTTGCTTTCAGGGTCACAGCCATAAACCCAACTTTCGTCACCAGTGACAACCTTCGAAAGAAAGTTTGGATCCTCTTGAAGCTGTTGCTGAAGTTCCCTGCAGACTTCCAAGCAATGCTGCTTCTGTTCATTTTGCAGCAGTCGTGGTACAAACTTTGCCGCAATCCTCATGTTCAGTTCCTCCGACAAAATTCGTTGACATGTACCATAACTTAGTCCCAAGGTGTTACAGAGGTCTTGGGTGGTCAGTCTACGATCTTGCAGAATCAGATCCCTAACTTTCGCAACATTTTCTGGTGTTTTGCCCATTGACGGCCGTCCCGAACGATCATCATCATCAGTCAATGTTCGGCCATTTTTATAATGCTTATACCAGTTGTAAGTTTGTGTCTGGCCTAAACTGTTTTCACCAAAAGCTTGCTTCAACATTTGGTGCGTTTCTGCAGTGGTTTTCCCAAGTTTGAAACAAAACTTTATACAGACATGCTGCTCTCTCAGGTCAGCCATCGCAAAACCGCACTCATGGAAACACAACAATGGAAATACGTTCACCAACAATAAACCCAACCACTCAACTTGATGCTGCTTACCACACTGATTCAAGAAGGATGTGTGAGGATACACCTAGCGGTATTTCGATGTACTCATGACCATTCGCGCGCAAAATTCAAATTTCGTAAACTTTTGGATTTCCCCATGTATATTGCAAGTCAACAATCATAACCATGGCAATGTATTAAATTCTGATGTTATATCCATGCAGAATCCATATTTAACAAGTTTCTCACAAAATCAAACAAGATTACATCAGATGGGATAAGACATTCATACAATGGGGAATTTTTACTTTATGAGTTCTGCACAGAAACTCACTAAGTCTAACAACTGATTCAGTACTGATCGCAATTCTGAGATGAAGAGGCAAGCAGATATTGCACTTCAAACTCACTAGCTGTAACTGTAATTTATTCTGTGCCAGCATAGTACCTTCAGCCTTGTTTTCGACAACAGGCTTATGCAATTTTGCTTGAAAAAGAGATTTAGAATCCTTGCTTTATTTCTCATGGTGAAACTCAGGAATCCAAAAATAGTAAATAAGAGAGAACAAAGATGGCTCAAGAAAGTAGAAGTAAGCACCACAAATATATACCCCTAAGCCATTGCATTTAAAATATGCTACGGGTAATTTCAAACACTGAAATGTGAAAATATGGTACCCTTAACCTATGGAAAGGCATCGTAAGGACAGGAAATGAAATACTCTTTCAAATTAAGTGGCAACAGTAATAACATGCATTAAGACAATTAAGGCAAAGTATCTACAAAGAGTAGAAATTCTGATTAATTATAACAGCATTTCTTATATAACATTCCATACAAGAGAACCAGTCAAATCACCACGAACTTATAAAACAAAATCTAACACTCATATGTCCTAATGAAGAAACAGTATTTTAAGCATTTAACTAGTGATTAATGACAAGGAACACAGTAACATAAACAGAATGGCTTTAAAAAATCTACTACATATTTCCTTGTACAGTGGAACCCCCATTTAATGTCCTTCACTTTATGGGTTTCCTTTCTGTAATGTTCAATTTCAATGAATGTAAGCCAATAACACAAGCAGTTAAATTTCCTCCACTTAACATTTCCTCGGATTAGTGTATGTATCCACTGCTCTCCAAAGAAACCTTAAATGGGGGTTTCAGTGCATACTGTTGTTGTTTCCCATACACTTCACACTCTATACAAAAACCACCCTCACAATACATCACACCACCCCTACCCATCACTTTCACAAACTCCTTTCCAGTCATTCTTGTCCACAAACTATGAAATGGTTACTTTTGAACATACTCGTAAGACGCACTAGAAGCCTGAACACATGTACATTTGTGAATGTGCGTGCAGGAAGAGGATGAAAGGAAAAATAGCGAGAACACTGTCACCGATTTTGTTGCAAAACAGAAAAACAAACCACCTCTCCATCACTAAGCTCCATTTTCTTTCTTTTCCCCATAATCAATCAATCACTCACCACTAAGGTCCATAAATGTAAACCCAAAAAAATTCCTCCCATGTGTTAACGGGATACTCCCATACATAGGGGTGTCTCGGGTTTCAATCAGACTACTACCTCCATCCAGCTGCTGCCTCCTGCCATGGTGCTTTTTGTTCTCCACTTGCTTATCATCATCACCTGAATAGACCAGGAAATTTGCAAGGGTCAGATTACTGAGGGATGGTGATCAAATTAATATGATACAACTGTATTAGTGGAAGAAAAAAAGACAAAAAAAGGGAAGGCATTTCACACTGTAATGCAAGCAGATGATTATATATGCTTCTTTCAACTACGGAGACAATCTGTGTTAAGTGCAGCTGGTGAAAACCGAAATTCCCTGTTATGAAAAATCACAACTACAGGTCAGAGAAAAAAACGCACCAAATTTAAACTTATAATCTCATCTCTTATAGGTGACACAACAATATATTATAGTTAGTTTTCAACTCTTCCTGTCAGAACAGACATGTTCCATTCAGTCTGGAAGTTTCCTTATTCCCGTTACAAAAGTGTGTTTTAAGTCACACCTTAGGAGGGTTAAAACTCAAGGCTTCTCTGCTTGAAATTACTTGTAACATTATTTTCTGTTACTGAAGTCTTGCACTTATTCGGCAGCGATGAAAATTTGTGGCTCTTTCCTAACCGGAGAATTTGTGTCCTGTGAAGAAAAGGTATTGTGATGTTCCCTTGCAAGTTGTATTACAATTAACAAACCAGTTCTTCCTTCTGGAATGACACACATTTAAACAACTTGTCCTTCCTCTAACAAACCCTTGCCAATTTCGCTAATCTGTGTGCCACATTATGGTTTTACAACCATTAACATAAAACTTTCAGTTTGATTACAGTTCTAACAATAATATTCTTCTGTTAACCTTCATAAGCTCATACATAAGCACAAATGTAACACAACTGGCAATAAGCATTGCCCATTCTTCATATGGATTGCTCACTAGTTCACAACTGTTCTTCAATCACAGCATACAAATACTGAACACTGCAGTATCCAATTTCCTCAACATAACGCAACATTTCATTAATATCAGCCGATTTCACTGTCTCCACCAATAAACTTCACTAACAATGCATTATTTCACCAAACCAGACACATGATCAGTGACACGCTACACTACGATAAACTATATCATGAAAATAAAAGAGCACCTGCTTCATCGAAACGTTATAACAGAGACGACAACCCTTCCATGTTACAACTCTAAAGTCAACTGTGAAAACTTTCTTACAAAAAAGCCAAGATCAAATATATATTGCATATGTATGTTAATGCTGTTTCCACAGTTTCTGAGGTTATGTCAGCTAATTACTAAATCTGGTTGTAATGAAGTTTAAATGAATCTCTTGCATGTACACTGACAAAATATTTGAGAAAGGAAATTGAAATCTTCAAAATAGTAAAACACAGTGGTACACAGATTTCTCCATTATTCCCTCATTTCTGAATTCAAGCAGTCACAGGACAGTACCCAATCAATGTCACACAAAGACAAAGGACTGACACCCACTAACTCAAATATCTAAGCAGAGAGAAATAAACGATATTTACAACCTGACACTTCCAAGAGTGTACAGAAGCAAAGCAGCAGCTTACATTACAATGTGACCTTGCTCTGGGGAGGGGCGAAGTAGGAACATAATGAGACAACAAAATCAAAAGATGGATGGTGGCCTCCGCTGTCAGCTGAACCAGTGCTTCTGTGACAACACACCTGTGCCAAGCGAAGTTGCTATCCACCTGGTAGGAGGTATTGACAGAACGCTCACATGTTGCATGGGGTACATGCTGTGCAGCATGCTGCCTGCTGCTGCCGCACTCTTGATTGCCTCTGCTCCACTGTAGCTACCAGGGTGCTGCTTCATGAGAACATCACTCCCTGCACAATTGCATAGGTAGCATAAATGCTTTTTCCCCCCCCCAAAGGGTGAAAGTTGTGTTAACTCGCTTTGAAATATAAAGTTCCCAAACGTAGTTCAAAATACTATGCTCACAATACACTCGTATTCCAAACCACTGCACCACACTAACCAGTTAGACACACGAATAATTTTGAACTGAATACATCAGGTTTTCATTTGATGATATTGCTCATCAACAAAAAATCATCAAATTATGAAACCATATAAGATATTCATATTCCACGCCTTTATCTGTGCATTATTGCAGGAAAAGAAGCTGCATGTCAACAGCTATACTATTCACCTGAAAGCAAAGGCACCCCTCCAATTCTGATGAAGAAACCCCTATAACATGGATGTGCCCTACTGAAACATATCAGTAGACACTTCCACAACTGCAAGTGTTCGAAAAAATTTTATACAAATATCTGAATATTCTAAATAAAATACACAACAATAACTTTGTATATCAATGGAAGTGGTTAATCAGCTTCTTAGTGATCAAAATTTAAAAGTGAACTGAATCTTACCTGAGAAAAGGAGCATAACAACTATTGATATCACTTCACTGATATTTAACAGACATATTTACTTTCATTTAAAGACATAATGCACAAAAATACAGTAACTGGACTTCACTCACAAACTCTTTTAAAATTCAGTTTGATCATACTAAGAACCACTTCCTAAAATTCACATTCAAAACTGTGTAGGAATAACAGAATATTGGAAAAGAATTAGAAAAATGGGTCACTTCAGTGGTTAGTACCTGTAGTGTGTTACTGGAAGCACACATTAAACCTCTCTACTCCAATGCTGGGGTGAAAGTGACACCACATTTCAACCTACCAAGTCAAATATCAACACACCATTTCACAGAGGTACTTGCTTCATGTCAACTCCTGCCATCTGCTGGATGTCATACAAAATTCATGGACTTTGTTCATGAGCAACTAACATTCTTCAATGGAAATCTTCATAATCCATGGAACATGGAGGGAGGGGGGGGGTGATGTTTGCAACATTAATTTGGACTAATTGCAAGAGCATTGTTAAGGTTAACTGAGAATTTTTCAAATATTTTAGACACTTTTTTTAAAGGCCATGCCATAGTTCACACAGATGCCAGCTTCTTGCTGCAGGAGCCAAGGTACAAGCCCACAGTAGTAAATGCAGGATTTATGGACAAAGTGGGACTGGGGCTCCTCTGCCAGTTATCATTAACATCAATGCTCCATACTCATCAGTGGCTGGTGTAGCAGGCCACTCTGAGGCAACAGCACCAAGGGTCTCAATCTCACACCGCTTCTACAACTCGCATTATTCATTTTATTTGCATGGCAATCCATAATGCTGCTGACATCACATAATTACATGTGTACGGTTTGTTTCCTACAGAAATGTTTCTTGCAAACAAATTATTTTATTCCTGCAAACCTGACATATTTCTATGGAACACTGGGATTTTGCAGACTGAAATTGGTAAAGTCAGTCTTGTAAATTATAGCACAAGTGTCTCACAGCATTTGCATTTTTAAGCACCATGGAGTAGACTTTAAATATCACAAGATAGAAGTATAAAATGCACTTTAATATCTCTTCCTCCTTAAGTACAGAGACCCACACAGTCTATTATGAAATAAGAACAAGAGATTTAAAAAAATACATAAAAAATTAAAATGTCTTGAGAGCATTTACCCAGTTACATCTAAATGGAAATGGTAAATCAGTGTGGGCAAAATGGAACATTAGGACTGCAGTGAAAAAAGTAAGGAGGGCATGAAGATAGACAAAAGTGTATTTCAATTGCAACTCCCACATTATTTACAGTCAGATATTAATTATTCAATTCACTGCAAACTTAATAGTTGCATTGTCCTATAAGCATATGTTTTGACATGTTTCAGTACATGTCAAGGAAGCAATGAGGTTTCAGTTTAAAGCAAAGATGCTGAACATAGAACATATAAATGATAAGAATTATGACTAATTTATGAATGACAGAACTGAGACACAGATTACAAAATGGGAGAGAGGGACCTTATAAAGGGTCAAAGTTAACAAAAGAAAAATCTTGACATCAATACATGAAATAAAGATTATTCAGCTTATATGAGCTTATGCCTAAGAAGTGAAATTTTAATTACAACTTGGAATTTATCGGATGATGCTACAACAAGCAAGATATTACACAGTTTCGGCACCATTAAAGGTTTCTGAAAGTAAGACAAGAATAATACAATCGCTGACAATTCCCAGAGCCATCGCTCTACAGGACACACATGTATTATCTCCTATATATGCTCACTGAAGAGGATGAAAATGCATTGAGCATGAACTCTGTTCTGAAAGAATTAACCTTTTAACTGTTACAGCCGCAATTCTCTTTGAGGACTTTATACATACAAGATTTGACAATAAAGTTCATGAACTCGCCACTGTGTCCTTCCCATGGCAGCAGTCGACAGAAACCTCAGTATGGTTTGATGATGTTGGCATATCAGCATTTCACAGCTGTGTTGTTGACCTATGGCTGTCTCTTTCTAACTGGTGTCTATTATTGTCTGAGTGTGTTGTTGCAACAATGTCAAAGCCTGCATTACAGCAACAAATGAACACATTTCTTGTTAAACTTGGCAAGAGTGGAAGCGAAATCAGAGGGATGGCAGTGCAAGTTTACAGGGATAATACTATGCAGCAAACAACAAGTTTACAAGCGGGTGACACATTTCTCCAAGGGAAGAGAAAGTGTCACTGACGGAGAGATCAGGACGGCCAGCAATGAGCAGAACTAAAGAAAATATTGCAAAAAGTTCATCAAATTATGCGTGAAAATCATCGGCTGACAGTCAGGAGCATAGCAGATCAAGTAAACATCGACAGAGAGACAGTTAGGAAAATCTTAACTGAAGATCTTGACACAAGGAAGGTGTGTGCAAAAATGGTCCAAAAGGAGCTCACCAAAGAACAAAAGCAGAGCTGAAATTTGCCAAGACCTTTTGCAGAGGCAAAATGACATTTCTGGCCATGTCATCACAGGCAATGAAACATGGGTATACCAATACAACACTGAAACAAAGCAGCAAAGGGCACAATGGAAGACTACCAATTCTCCATGACCAAAAAGATCCCTCAGTCCAAATCTAGAATCAAAACAATGTTACTAACTTTTTTTTTATATTAGAGGGATTGTTCATTATGAGTTTGTACGAACTGGACAAACAGTCAACCAACTGTACTAACTGGAAGTACTGAAAAGGCAGCATGAACAAGTTAGAAGGAAACAACCCAAACTTTCTGCCAGCAACTCATGGATCTTGCATCACAACAATGCACCTGCTCACACGGCACTGTCTGTGAGGGAGAATTTAGCTAGTAAACAAATAACTGTGCTGAAACACCCTCCCTATTCACTGGATCTAGCCCCCAATGACTTTTTTCTCTTCATGAAGATAAAGGAAATATTGAAAGGAAGGCATTTTAATAACACTGATGACATCAGGAGTAATATGATGGTAGCTCTGAAGGCTATTCCACAAAACCAGTTAAAAAATTGTTTTGAAGGGCAGACTAGACACCAGCAATGGTGCATAGCTTCCAAAGGGAAGTACTTTCAAGGAGGATACAGTGATATACAGCAATGAGGTACGTAACACTTTTACCGCAATGAGTTTGCAAACTTTAATGCCACACTTCAGCAAATGATTATTTCTTCTCTGATGTACTCCACAAATGTAGATAAGAGTGCACCTCTTTTTTATGGCATGATTCTCTAAATCACACTTAGTATCCTATAACATGTACTATTTTTGGTACTAATCAAAATAACTATTTGGTACAATGTTATGCCACTGTAAGCCAGACAAACCTCATCATTTTGCAATTCCCTACAAATAGTAATAAGAGCATAGCATGTGACATAAAACACAGACATAGGGTATTAATCTGGGGGGAGTAGATTAGTAATACCCTGTGCAATGTGGTATCTGAAATCTGAAAATAGCTTCCAATAACATCTGTATTTGCAATAATGAATACTGAGGCCAAAGAGGCATGCAAAACTGTGACCAGCACTTGGAAAATACATGTGATCCAAACCTGCGTACACCTCTGCAATCCTATAAGACAGAAGGAAGCTATTTTTAAATACGAAGGAGATATCAACTATACGAATATGATAGCAGGCAGTGTTAATTTAGAATTTTTAGTAGAAATTATGTCACCTAATCAAATTCCAAAGAAAAGTAAACTACTGATGTCTATTCGTTCAAAAGGCAATCTTTAATTATATATAACATCTCTGNGGGGGGGGGGGAGAGAAAGAAACCCAGCATACATTCAACAGGTTGACAAGGATTAGCATCCGATTATCCCTTTCTGCTTATGCAGGACCACATAACAATTTCAAGCTCTGTAAGAATTCAATTAAGGATGAACCTGTGCAAGGAACAAACACTGCCCACAGGTAAAATTAATGAGCTCTTTCAAACATAAACTTTACACAGAATCAAGAACTTTGATCAATTTTTATACAAACACATTACACAAGAAAAAATAATGAATTTCCAGAGCATGATGCCAGAGCCCTTTGGACAAACAGAACTTTGTCGGTTACAAATTATTTCACAATATTTTCTATGGGATTCAAATATACAGATGACCTACACTGGTCAAGGAATACTGCAAGTATCTGCAATGGCTACTTTTAATATGCAAGGAAATATCAAGAATGCAATGATATGAAAAATAGTGCATTTTGTTGAAATTAATTTCAGTTACATTTTAAAATGTTTCTCCACTGCTAAGGCAGCAGCAAGAATGCAATATTAAAAATAATACATGATCTAACAGCATATATAAAAATTTAATTCCTGTGGCTATCAGAAAAAATTAGTACAATTTACTACTAAATCTTACCTATATTCCTGGCATACAGTAGCATGTTAACAGTCTATCAAACAGGATACCATACTCTATG